AGGTGTGTGTGTGTGTGTGTGTGTGTGTGTGTTGTGTGCGTGTGTGTGTGTGTGTGCTGTAAAGACATTGTGCCATCATCTGAATCTGGAATGTCTCCAAAGGCTCATGTGTTGAAGTTTTGGTCCCCAGCCCAAATGGTGGTGGAACCTTTAGGAAGTGGGGCCTAATTAGAGGAAGTTAGTTTACTGGGGGGCATGACCTTAAAGGAGATTGGGACCCCAGACCCTTTTTCCTTCCTCTTTCATTCCTGCCATGAGGTAAGTAGCTTCCTCTACCACATGTTTCAACCATGGTATGCTGACTTTCCATAGGCCCCAAAGCAATGAGGCCAACTGACCAGAGACTGAAACCTTGGAAACCATGAGCTAAAATAAACCTTTCCTCTTTTTAAGTTGATTTATCTCAAGTATTTGTTATAGTGATGGAAAACTGACTAACATCCTTGGTTCAGATCTGGCCCATTATAGAAGCTCAATAGATGGGGGCTATTGTCTTTAGGTGGGAAGAGAAACAGTTAAGACAATTAGTCAGGGGAGGCTTTGGGGAGCAAGTACTTAACTAGAATGTTTTCTTACTGTTACTAATGAGAGAAATAATGAGTTTATGGAAAGAAAGAGAGAGGGAGGGAGGGAAGGAAAGAGGAAGAGAGGAGGACAAGAAGGAAGGGTTCCTTCAGTGTCAGCTCCTGTAGTTGGGTAGAGCTATCCCTGGCCTTGGGGAAAACAGAGGGAGACAGTCTCCCTCCATCTTTCCTTTCTGTCCTTCTCTGCCTGTTGGCATCTTTCTCTGTGAGGTGGGATCCTTGGCCACAAGTAGCTTCAGATTCACCAACGACATCTTCAGGTCCAAGGAGTCTTTCCCATAACCCCAGTTAAAGAGACCTCAGGGAAGACCCTGATCATTCCAGACTAGCTCAGTGAGCAGGTCACACCCTTGACCTGGCTGGGATCACAGACCCATTGTTTCTATGGTGTGAGTGGAGGAGGAACTAGCCTCTGGGAAATGAGAGTGGAGAGCAGAGGGAACAAGACAAGCCACGTGTCACTCTGGTGGAGGCGGTTCCCCAGCTGGGCCTGAGGAGCAGGGTAGGACTTGGAAGTAAGGTGAGGAGGGCTGTCTCCAGGCAGAAGATACCAGGTGAGGACTGTAGGGGCATTATCGTGTTGGAGGACAGCATGCTCAAAGCGCCACACTGGTTTATTTGTAATACAACCCATACGTCACCACCTCCACTTTTCCCAAGGTCTCTGGATGTGTTTCAAGCAAGATCAGAAGCAACTTGTTATGTATGGTTTGTATGTAAGGTGTCCCCAAAACTCACAGTGAGACAATGCGAGAGAGTTCAGAGGGTTCAGATCAGGTTGTGAAAGCCTTAAACTAATCAGTGACTTAACCCCTAGTGGGATTAACTGAGCGGTAACTGGAAGCAGGTGGGGCGTGGCTGGAGAAGGCGGGCCAGGTTGGAGGAGGCGGGCCATTGGGGGCGTGGCCTGGGGTATGTATTTGTATCCGGCCAGTGGAGTCTCTCTCTGCTTCCTGGTCATCATGTGAGCTGCTTCCCTCTGCCACACTCTTCCGCCATGATGTTTTGCCTCACCTGGAGCCCTGGAAAATGGAGCCAGCTGCCTATGGACTGAGACCTCTGAAACTGTGATTTCCCCAAATAAACTTTTCCTCCTCTACAATGGTTCTGGTCAGGTCTTTGAGTCACAACAGCCAAAAGATGACTAAAACACAACCGCAAAGGTAAACTCTCTGTCCCCTGACTTCTGGGCTCTCCTCCTGGCCTGGAACCCCAGAGGAAGGGGATAGCTCTTAGAGGAAGCTTATTTCCTCTGCTGTTGATATTCCTAGTTTTAGACATTTCTTTGCCTTATAGAGTTTTTTGTTTTTTAGCATTGCTATTTTTGATGAAAAATATAAATACCCACCCCTCTGACTGGGAGGCAGCTGCAGGCTTCTGCTCTGAGCACAGCCTCCTCCTCCTCCTCCTTCTTCTGACAACTCTCCTCAGATTGAGCAACTCTTTGGGGGACCAAAACTCTGTCCAGTGAGCAAAAGAGGCACTAACACCACAGGCTATTCACAGGGCGGCCACACCCTGGCAAAATATGATGCCTCTCCCAGCCGCTCAGGTCTCCAGGTTTATCCCAAGGACACTATGGCCCCAGGAGCAGCTGAACAGCTGTGCCTCACAGTCACAGGGAGCTGGGTGGGCTCCAGAAGTACCAGAGGCATCCCAGACCCCAGGATTTGCCCCTGAGCCATGAAAGTGCTGCCCCACTCAGGTGGCCTGCCGGTGCTCTGTCTCCTGTTTCCTTGATGGTCCCTCTTTCTCCTCCTATTTCCGGCCAAGTGACCATCTCAGTAATTCCTGATTTGTGTCACTGTATTCATGTCACCGTGTCCTCATGCAGTCTTCCCTCTCTGTGTTGAGAAACTGATGTGACTCCATTTTTGAGAAACCAGCTTCTACCTCAAGGCCTGTCCTAAGGAAGGGGGCGTGACCCTTGTCCTGGGAAAAACCCACAGAGCACTCCTAGGCACATACCCACCCTGCTGAGTTGTTTGTCTGTAAATAACAGGAGAGGTCTGTGGCGCCAGGTGTCCCTGACTCAGTTAGGCTAGGTGAGGACCCATAGCAACCCCCTAGCAACGTCCAATCAGCATGAGACAGGGAAAATACCTGGGATGCCAGATGACCCCCTAGTAGTTAATGGTGGTTGATAACATGTTGGGAAACCATGTAGTTTAGCACGTACACCCCTCACGGCTTAAACCAATCAGTTCAAAGGAATCCCCCTCTTGTACTCATCAATCACCCCTACCCAACTTGTTCCCACCGGTGAATGTGCTAATCAATGTTAAGAGTTGTTGTTTGACTTTCCCGTGGTGTGAAGTGATTTGTTGTGTGATTTTGTGATGCATAGAGTATCCCCCTAAAAACCTATAAAATCTCACTGAATAAAGGACCAGGACTCACTCCCTGGGACCGCTGCGTCAGAATCGGCTGTGAGTCCAGGCTCGAGCTTGCAATAAAGATTCTTGTGTGATTGTATCGGATTCAGCTCCTGGAGGTCTATTGGGGTCCCACGAATCTGGCATTACAGTGTATCTGTGATTCTTCCTGTCTCATAAGGACGTCAGTCAGACTGAAATAGGATCACGCTAATAACCTCCTACCCTCTTTGGAGATCTTGTCTCAGATACAGACATATTCTGAGGTGCTGAGGGTTAGAACTGTAACATATGGATTTGAGAAGAGGGACATAATTCAGCCTATGCAGCACAAACCTCTCCAGAGCCTGGGGTCAGGGGGTGCAGAGAACTCTGGGGAGCAGATACCTTTGTGTTTGTCATGGTCTCTTCTCTCTAGGTCTGAGAAGAGCTCCCATTATGGGGCCTTTATTAACACCCCAAGAAAGAGGTCCCTGATGGCTCAACCCATGTCACCCTTCCTAAGGATATGAGGACTGGGGCTGGGAGAGGAGAAGGGACCTTAGTGACTTGAGGGGTTTGGGCTAGAGGGTGCTGCTTGCTTCATCTCCCATCATGCCTTCTGGTCAGTGCCTCTGCAGCTGAATGACTGTGCAGACAGACTTCTCTGACCAGGAGCATCCTTGGCTTACCTGAATACAGGCAGCATGTGAAAGATGTGCACAGTCAGGAAGTGCTTCCCGGAATGTCTGGGTACCCTGAGAGTACCTGGGCTCATTATGCCTCCTTGGATTTTGGGTCTTGTCTTTGCAGTGACTAAAGCCAACCTGATGCCTAGATGCCATTTCTGGAACCTTGAAGGGACCATTGCTGTTGAGCTTGAAGTCTCACCAAAGATTTTGTTTTGAAACTGATTCATTTTTTGGCAGCAGCAACAGCAGCAGCAGCATGTGGCATCTCCCTGGGGAAAAAAAATGGACCAGGATAGCAGGTCCCCAGGGTTCTGGGCTGATTGGAGGAATTCTGAGGAGCTGACAAGGGCCAGGGCCTTTCCCTTGGGATCTGAGGAGCAGGGATGACAGCGGGCCACTTGCTGTGTGAGCACTCACCTCTGCCATGGCACTGGAGCTGCAGGCAACACCACAGATGTGGTCTCATTCTGGGCCCCAGCCTGCTGCTCCTCATGCATCGAAATCCAGATGATCTGTTTTTCAGCCCCATCACGATGCTGATGAACGCCAAGCTGCCTGTCAGCTACTCCCTAGGTATGAAGGCAGGCGTAGAGTGTGGCTGATTCCAAGCAGAACTTTTTCATTTAATGTGATTAGATTTCATCTTGTTAGATTGCCTCTGCCTGTCAAGAGCTTTTAGGATTCTGATTTGTTCATCTTGGATATTCATTTCCCCTCATCCACAAATTTAATAAGTCCTTAGGTCTTCACTGAATTATTAATGAAGGTATCAGCCAGGCTGTGGACGACATCCTGCAGTTCCCTCCACGGTCCTACCAAACCCTTGCTAGGGTGGAACAGCTCGCTGTAAGTTCTCTTAACCACTCTTACTTACCCCGATCCAGAAAAGACATTATCAAGTATGTAGATCAAACACATTTCCCTCTTCGGCCAGTCCAACAAGCATGAAAGGGAATGGATACCAGTTCTACACCCAGTCTAGGTCCTGATGCTCAATCCATTGTCCGTGTTCCTGGTTGCAAAGGAATCAGACGCCCAAAGATGTGGTGGTTTGAGGAGTGACTTGTACCAGGAAAGGGAAAGTGGGGAAAGTGACCTGAAGGAGGACAGCACAGCCTTCATAATGGAAAGGAGGCCAAATGGAAAGGTTGGAGAGAGAGAGAGAGAGAGAGAGAGAGAGAGAGAGAGAGAGAGAGAGAGAAATGCTTTGCAGGAATCAGAGCCCCATCTGATGATGAGAACGGGAGGACACAGAGAACTGAGGAAGCTCCAAAAAGGTCACGTGAATGTTTATTACATAGAAAAGAGGGAAAGGGAGAAAAGATTCCCAAAGCCGTATTTCCAAGGATTAAAAAACAACAACACAAAAATGGAATGCCAAGGAGATGCCATGCTTTATATATTTATAATAGGAACACATGTGTACGTATAAATATGTACATGGAGATATGTACACGGGTTTTAATGTCTACATGGGATTTTTTTGTTACACCGACAGCAATGCTGTTTGAGTAAAGGAGTTCAAAGGTGGCTGAAGGCTGGAGAAACTGGAACCCTCTTTGACATCTAGAGGGCGCTGTGGAGACCCCTGATAGACAGCCGGCAGGTCTCAAGCCCAAGGGTGCTGAGCAAGCTAAACCGCAGGCAGGCTGGGCCCCAGGCTGGAAGCTTCCCCAGGTCCCCAACATTAGAATCTTTCTTACAAGAAAGGTTCCAGTCTTTGGAATGGGCTGGGAATGCTCCCTCGGCTGGATTGCGGTGGGGTCAGGGGGCTCCCTGGGGGTCTGGGTGGAAGTGGGATAAGAAAGCTCCAGGAGATCAGAGTGAATTTGTCTGAGGGTGACAAAAATGTACAGCAATTAAATTAACAAAAAGAAGAGAGACCCAAACAGAGTCACGGTATCAAAATACTGCAGTTCACAACACAACACTCATCCATACCTATGTTCAGCAGATACACACAGAAGCATTGGTCTTATTTTTTACATGTGTTGTTTTTAAAAATGGTGCCATGTTCAACAGCATGGCTTAAGAGCCCATGACAAGGGCCAGTCACACAGGTGCCCACAGAGCCCCCATCACCCCTTCTCCCTGCTTGAAATATACGTCTTCCTTCTTTCCTCTCTGGATCCTATGCTGGGACAGGTGGGTGTGTTGTAGGAACAGAGAGGGGTCTCAGAAGAGAAAATTATCTGTATCCTCAGAGGAACCCCAGAAAGAGGACACTCTTCTCTGGGCAGGCCCCCCACCCATCCCTCCCCCAGAAGGCCAAGCAAGGGATGTGGTGGACAAGCACAGGCAGGATTGGTGGAGTTGGGGTTGGTGCTGAGCCCCTGGGCCCCAAGAAGAAGAGATCCACAGGTCAGAGGCCCTGGAGAGAAAGAAAACAATGTATGCCTATGTGTAAAGGTTGTGCATGGTGAGGGTGTATGGAACCATCAGCCAGAGACCACCCTGGAACAGGGTATGGGGGCCAGTGGAGATAAGTCCTATCCTAGGTCCCCAGGCAGACCCTGCCCTGCTTCACCCATTGTCCAGGGGCTGGAGTGTGGGTGTGTGCACGTGTGTCCATACCTCTGCCCTTCTGAGGTGAAAATACACAACAGGGCAGGTGGTGGAATGTGGAGTCCAGACCAGCCCGGCTAGTTGGCATTTTGGCAAACCCAGGCAGAAGAACATGGAGGGATTTGGGGACCCAGGTTTCCCAGCTAAATCTGAATCAAGGGACTTTTGACTTGTTCCAGAAACTCAAGACACATACAAGTTGGGTCTCTCTGCCCTCTGACAGCATTGGGAGGGGACTGTGGAATTTCAGAACAGTGTTTCTGTTCTGCCAGAGTTGTGGCTCTCTCCACTCTAGGACTGCCAGTACTTTGAGTCAGAAGGCGAGGCCTTGCAAGAGCCCCAGTGGGGCTGGGCCCTCAGAGCCCTTTGCTTTGACAGAAATAGGAAAAATGATGGCTTCCCAGGTCCCATTTGGTTCCCAGTCTATGAATGGTTCCTTCAACTGTGGCATGAAGCGGGTGGCGAGAGGCGGGCAGCCCTAACAGTGCTGGGGCCAGAGCCCCCTCCCGGGAGGATGGGGGGGCATTTGGCTTCACTCTGGTTAGGATTCATCTGGTCTCTGCATGTCCGGAGAATTGGGGTGGGTTATGCTCTGAGCATGAACATTCAGGAGCTCTAAGAATTCAGTGGGGAGAAAGCTCAGGAAAAACACAGCCCTGAGCCTCTCACGCACCTGCTCAGGTTGACCTTTTTAATTAAATTATTATTTCAGAACCTAGCTGATCCAAAAGGACCACTGTCAATTTCCTTGGCCAAGATGACCTCCTCATCCCCTACACCAGTGCTTAGAGTGCTCTGGAAGGAGAAGGGGCAGTGTGTTCTTTGAACAAGGTGTCCCCTACACCCTGCTGTCCCCTGTGGGGACTAGGGTCAGCAGGCATGTGGAGGTGAGGGCATCTTTTGAACCAGCAGGATCTGCCAGAGTGCTTGCTGACTGAGAGCCGAGGTGGCCCATGGTGGACTTCCTGAGGCCAGCAAATGGCTTCTACTGAGCCCTAGGGAGGAGGTGGCATGTTGCTTCAGCCTCAGGCCCACTTCTGTCCAGGGGTGGGGAGGTGGGCAGCAGGCTGGCAGCAACAACTTCTAACTGTTCCCAAGCCTGAGGCCCCCAACCACATGCAAAGCCAGGGAGAACTGGCTGGCGGGGGAGGGGGCTTTCAAAGGCTCCCCAGCTCCAGTCCCTCTGAGGAGAGCCCTCCACACAGTGCCAGAAAGAGGGACTAATAATAACTGTAAATAATGTCTCCAACCACTAAGTCAGAATGTACGTTTCAATTATCCATCCCCAAGCAGTTTACACAATGTTCCAAGCTTTCTTTGCCAATATCATTAACACAGTAAAAAAACAGACCCAGAGTATGAAAACCTGAGCGGGGGGCCTGGGAGCCAGGATGGGGCCCTGAGGAGGCCGGACTCTGTGTCCAGACCAAACTGAAGCGAACCCCTGCAAACTCACCCCAGGGAAGGGGTTAGCTAAAGAAAAAGTTTGAGAGTGGGGTTTTAGGTTTGTGTTTTCAAAAGCCGAGCTGGTGCAGGAGGCTCATTGTCATTCAGCTGTACCTTCCCCATCAGGAACATCAGGGCTCTGGAGGGCCGTTGTCCTGGTCCTGGGGTTTCCGCCCCACTGTGTGCTGGCCTTGGGCTCCGTGTTTGGAGTGTGGTTGATTTGGACATCTAGGCCCCTTTTCCTTCCCGGGGAGACTGTAGCTCTGTAGATTCCCTGGGAGTTCTCCCCAGTGCTCCTCAGCCCACAGCATCCTGCATGAGGCTGAATTCACCCCAACTCTCCATCATGTGTCTGAATGGCTGGAACCCCCCAGATGGGAAAGGAGTGGTCTTTTGAGTTAAGGTCAGTTAACTCCCAATACCAGCTCTCGCTCTCTCCCTGACCACTGTCATCTTATCTTTCCATAAGGGGCATCCCTCTGGACCTGACCCCAGCAAGGGAGCGTAGGCTTGAAGGCTACTCAAAATGGTGAGAACAGGCAGCACGTGGGGCAGGGTGGAGGCCCTGTGGTTTCTTCCCGGAAGGTTACTTTCTATTTGTTATGCCTTATACTTCTGAGAGGGCCCTTCCCAGGCCCCCTGCAATCCCTTCCTCCTCCGGGGCTGGGCTGCCAGGAGTTCTTTTGCTCTGGTTGTAGGAGGAGCCAGACCTGGCCACTCTCTACCTCTGCCACATGAGCCATACATCTGGGGACATGGAACTTACTCTCTTGAGGCCTCACTTTGACATTTGAAAACTCAGCACAAGGATCTCCCCTCCCAGGCTGTTGAGAAGGGTGACAGGAGATAAAAATGCTGGGTGAGGGTCCCTCATGTGGAGGCTGTTCACTGGAGCTGGGCACAGGGGTCTGGGAGGGAAACCATGCTGCATGTCCCTTCCTTCTGTTCCTTCAAAGAGACTTGGCCAAGGAAAGGCCAGCGGCTTGTCGGGCTGGGGCTGGGGCTGGGGCCCAGCAGCACAGCAGGCCCCAGGGGTGCCAGGACCAGTACAGGGGTACTGTACTGCCTCTGCTATACCCATGGGGTCCTGGCTTGACAGTTGCTACTGTCCTTGGGACATACCCAGGGTGCCAGGTACCTCAGTCTTGCTCCAGGGTCCCACTCTGGCCAAAGGGAAATGGCCACCCTGATCACAGTGTCACAACTAGGTCCTTGGAGGGTCTTATTTACAAGCCTGTGACTCTTGCCCCACACCCTCCAGCCAGGGAGCATCCTGCCGAACTCTGAAACGTGTCTTGCCACTCCTGAACCATCAGCCTTATGCCATACCATCCAGGCAAAGCTCCAATTTGTGTCACCAAAGGGCTGTGTGTCAGTCAAGCACTCATTGGCGCAAGGACCCTTCTTTCCATTTTGCTTAATCAATGAACTCTGACCATCCAAATGGCCATTTTGGATGACTTGGAGTAAACTGGCCACTGTCCTTATCTCCTGACAATGCTATGACCATGGTCTAATTCAGAGGGCCTCTATTCTCAGCTGTTCCCACCCACATGGCCACCCCTGCCTTCTCCCACACATCCTTTACCTGGAGAGTGGCTGCTTCCTCCTGGCCTGATGTGTTCCCAAATGCAGAGATGCAGCCCTCAGATGAGAGGACGGTGCGAGTGGGGAGGAGGTAGCCTGCCAAGCTCACAAACCCCTGTATTAAGCCATCCCACACACGGTGACACCTGCCACTCAAGAATAACCCACCTGCGTCTGGATCGTGTCACTAAACACCCAACACAAATTGCTACCTCTCCTCTACTCCTTCAGCAACCACCCCCAGCCCCAGCCAGGAAAATAAGCTCCTGCTCTCTCACTTGTGGGGGCAGCCCCCTCCCAAGACTTGTCAGCACTCAGGGAGAGTCAGGCAATTTGGGGGGACTGTTGGGGATGAAGGGCTGTGGGTTGGTGGGTTGTGGGAGGGGGTGGCTGGGACCTCTGCTGATGTTGTTTTCTCTCATTTGAGGGGTGTCCCTGTTCTCTGATGCACCTTCCTGTAGAGCAGCGGGCTGCCAGCCTCTGGCTATTTGGGTAGAACCAAATCTGATCCCACGACTGAAGTCACAGAAGGTTCCAAATAGGAGAAAAGCAATAAAAGTTGGGGTTGAGATCAGGAAGAAGGGGGCCCAGGAAGACGTTGAGACACTGCCTGGTACTCAGAAAGTGCAGCCCAGCCCCAGGCGTCAATGAAAGAGGCTCATGAAAACTAAGAGGCAGACGGTGGGAAGGACAGAGTAGGAGCAGAGAACTTGCCTCAGAGTAGGGGCCAGGAGTAAGTGGCAGGACAGGACCCCATGCCTCACAGAGGTCAGGGGACAGTTCAGTTTGTGGGGAATCCCAAAGTCTGCTCCCCGGCAGAACTGTAGTTAGATAGCCCACTAGTGGGGGTAGGTGGGATGGGACCCCCAGAGCAGTGGGCGCCGCTTCCCTAGAGCCCGCATCCTGCATTGTAGCCAGGCTCCTCATCCAGCCCTGATAGGGTTTTGACAGAGCCTCTGATAGATAAGAAAAGTCCCTTAAACAGGGACACATCCAATGGCTCAAAGCCCAGAGGGGTCTGGAACCTGAGCGTTGGGCCAGTCCCACGTGTTATCACTTCCTGTGTTAGAGAGTGAAAACAGACATGTAAATATCCATCCTGTCACCATAATTTTGGATTTCCTTTCTCTTTTTTTTAAGCATATTTTTAGTTGTAGATGGATACAATACCTTTATTTTGTTTATTTTATCTTTATGTGGTGCTGAGGATCGAACCCAGGGCCTCACACGTGCTAGGCAAGCGCTCTATCACGGAGCCACAACCCCAGCCCCTGGATCGCCTTTCTCTTAATTTCAGACTGGTACTTGATTGGCAGTAGTCGGCACACCTTCTCTTGATTCCTGGTTCCACTAAAATCTAATCTGCAGCCATCAATTACACAGAAGTGGCTTAAAGGAGCCTTGTGGTCCCCGTGCAGCACCAACAATCTCACCTCCAGTGCATCTGTGTGCAAGTCGGGTTTTTCAGATGAAGGTCCACCACCTCCTTAAATTGCTTTGAAATTCTGAAACTCCAAAAGCCATCTATCTAGTGGTAGTCTTTCTCCCAGGACTTATCTAGTCTGACCTGAATAGGCAACGCTATTTACATTTTTTATTGATCCCAATTAATCTGACTATTCACATGTTTCTCTGCAGAAATACTCATGTGCTGGATGGTGGGTGGGCTGTTCCAGACTCTGCCAGGGTGTTAGGAAATATGCAGAAAATAGATCATACCATCTTTCTCAAATCCAAAATTTCCTAATTCAGAGACACATCTGGCTTCAAGGATTTCAGAAAAAAAGGACTGTGGACCAGAAATGGTATTAAGCATCACGAGGAAAGCAGCCAGTTCGTGCCCACTCACACCTCAGCCTGGCAATTCCAGCAGTTTCACCCCAGGGACAGAGCCACTGCCCTCCCACCCAGGGAAATAATGGACCAAACACACTCTGCCATTACATATCAGCGGCAAGGAGACTGAGTATGTGGTCAGATCCATGGGGACCCATGCTCTCCCCAATGCCAGCTGTGAGCACAGTGGACCTTTCCACACTGGACTGGCAACTGGCCATCCTCAATTGCACCCTGGCACTGCCCCCAGAAGACCACAGAGTAAACACTAGGGGCACCAGATACTTGAGGCAGGAGTGGGGACCCAGAGGAAGAGTCCTCCACAGTCCCGCCCCCTTAGCAAGTCCCGATCACCTGGACAGGGACCACTGCAGTCCAGCCCTGCAGCTCTGGAGTACCCTTGCAGTGGGCAATGGGCTCTGCCAGGTGAAGGTGAGCCTGCAGAAGCATCCCAGCCTCTCTGTCGACATGCCCATCTCTGCCCCACTCCCCAGTGCTCCATGTGCCTGAGCCTACCATGCTTTCCCGGGCAGGAGGAGGGACTGGCAGCCCTCAGAGCCTGCTGAGAAAAGCAGATGCGATTTCAAAATAAATACTATTTCTAAAAATACCCCCTTTTCCACCCCGAATCCAGGAAACGGCAGAAAAGAACATGTAAAGGTCCTTGTGCCACAAGCTGCCTGGTGCAGCCCTTGCAGGGCCCCGGGACTTCCTTGGTGGGTCCTGCGGGCTCACAGCTGCTGTGGGATGCCCTGCTCCTTGTACCCTGTGAGGAAGAAGCAGAAGAGAGAGACGGTTAGGCTCCCTTTGCCTTTAAGAATTCTCTAGGAGGTGTCTGCAGACCAGAATATGCTCACGAGAGTTGATTCATACTATGGTATAAATGACTGCTATGTCAGGACTTGACTTCCCAAGGGCATTGGCTTTCAATTAGAAAATGAAAGGATGAGTCAAGAACTGTGCAATAGATGAGAAGGGGTGGTTAGGGTGCAGGTTGGAAGGCTATTGATGTGCTCCTGAATTCACAGTCCAGAAGCAACTGCATAAAAATGGCTCCACCAGATTGCCCTGGTGTGATGGCAACATGCAGAGCCTTGGGGAAAAGTCTAGGCAAGTGAGTGAGCAAGTGGTGGTCCTCTGGCACAGGTGGAGAGGAGGCAGAAAGAAAGGAGGAAGGCAGTACCCGGAAGGAAGCAACCATCATGAGGATGTTCAACCCATGTGTGTGTGTATCTGTGTGGCGTGTGCTAGGCCAGCGCTCTACCACTGGGCTACATCCCCAGCCACCTTTGGGAAAATACAAACACTGTTGATGTTAAGGAATCATTGCTAATATGTTTGGGTGAAATTACAGGGCTGAAATTATCCGAGTGGATTTGCTGAGCCATTACCCCCATCCACTAATTATCTTAGTCTGAAAAGGAGCGTCCATGGACCTCCCTGGGTTTTTCCCTCTTCATCTAGCAGATTACTCATTAACCTTAGGTGCTGATGATCCAGTGCTGGCTGGGGTGTGGAGACGGTGGGAGTAATGGATGAAACAGGGTGGCAGTGACTGCTTGAAGCTGATGTGAGCTTCATCTATATTTTCCAAAATATAAAGTTAAAAATAAAAGACCGCTGACCAACTGGGAGAGTGGGGTGTCTGTGGGCAAGAGTGACGGTCCCAGGGAGGAGAGGGCCCCAGGCAGCCCCAGGTCCATGTGCCCATCAGCAGACTCACCTTGAGAAACTGCAGCAACATAGAGACGGGAGGCAGCAGGAGGAAGAAGAGAGAAAGAAAATACAGTCTAAAAACAGAAGCCACAGGGATGCCTGAAATACACAATGGGAGGGGACCCAGGGAGGGTCCTGGGAGGCAGAATAGGCGCTGTGCCAGTGACTTCCTAGAAGTCATGTCCTCTGACAAGGGGTGCTCACTGGTCACGGTGACTAGTCACTGTGGCCAGCGGTAGGCCCATTAGGATGGCAGGGGAGACACAGAAGTTCTGCCAAGCCACTCTGTCCAGTGCCTCCCCAGCCCCCACATCCCAGCCAGGCCACACCTCTGCTCACCTCCTGCCCTCATTCTCTTTTCCTCCCCAGCTCATGCCTTGAGATAAATTCTGGATGCATCTCAGGAGTGACGGGTGCAGGGCAGGTTTGCTTGTGACAACCTAAAGATACCGAGGTGAACTGTTCTGGTGTCTACCCTGCTCTTTGGGCCATGTGGTTTTGCTCTCTGTATGGACAGGAGCCACATATTATAAAACCCAATGCTCTGGGAAAATACCCAGGCTCAGAGATGGCCAATGACCATGCAGACATCTTGGATCAACTGCCTGAAGCCCTGGGGTGACAGTGTCATGATGGAGTAGCCACATCTGTCATGGGTACAGCTGTAGAAGGAACCCTCCAGACAGTTACCAAGTACCTACTAACCCGTGACCAAGACGGGCCATTACTGATTGTTATTTGTTATGATGAATACAAATAGGGCAGCAGGCTGGTATGTTCTTGACTTTCACTTGTACTTTTGTCTATATTTCTCTGATTTCCCTCTTAGGAGCTTTTCTTTTTTTTTTTTCCTTGATCCTTTTTAGTTATATATAACATTAGGATTCATTTTGACATAATCACAAAAGCACGGATTATAATCTGCTCTTATTCAGTCCCCAGCACCTTCCTGTTCCCCCCCTCCTCCCTCCCGATTTCTTCCCTCTACTGATCTCTCTGCAATTTACTTACAGTTTTTTTTTAGTGTCTTGTGGATATATTTGATTTTGAGATTCACTGTGGCATACTCATAAACATCATATGAAAGTTCAGTCGGATTCAGTCCCCCTTTCTTCCCTTATCCCATCCCTCCTCCTTCCACCTCAATCCCCTTCATTTACTCTACAGATCATTCCTCAGAACCCCCTCCCCCACCCCCAGTTTTCCCATTTATTTTGGATTATTAGGAGTTCTTCTTGCCGATAACACCCTGGAGGGTGCCATGTGAAAAGTCAACCTGTGTTGTCGCAACTGAAATGTTTCCTTCATTTTCACAGGAAGGGCCTGGAGCGACACCAGAAAGAACAGCTCCTTATCCAACTGTCTACTAGGACAGACAAGCGGATTGTGGCCTTTCCTTTCTAGAAGCGATTCTGAGATACACACGCACTCCACTGTTGCTCAGAGCGATCTCTGCCCATCGCACAGGTGGCAAGACATGTTCTTGGAGGGTGGGTGCAATTTTTGGAAAAAGTGCAAAGCCATCCCCTGCTGAGATGGGGGAGTGACACTGGTGGTCAGGCAGGGTCAGTGGGCATGAGACCACGGTGTGACTATTTTTCTTATGTGCTCCCTACAGAGTTTGAGGTAAAGACAGCTCCCTAGAGCCAGCGTCCACACGTCTAAGGAGCTGACTCTCATCCACAGGAAGGGATTAGGGTGCTGGGAAGGGAGAGGAAAGACTGGGGTTAGAGATGTACCTGCTCATCCTGCAAGTGTGGAATGTTCCCTAAAGGCCCATGTGTCCCCACAGCGGCATTATTGGGAGGTAGAAGAAATTTTATGAGGTGGGACCTGGTGGGAGGTCTTAGGTTACTGGGGGTGTGTCTCAAAGGGAACTGTGGGACTGTGGTCACTTCCTCTTTTTCCTTTGTTTCCTGGCTGTGAGCTGAGCAGCTTTGTTCCATCATGAGGTGCTGCCTCACTGCAGACCCTAAAATAATGGAGTCAACTGACCATGGACCAAAACGTTGAAACTCCAAAACTGTGAGCCAAAATAAAACTTTTCTCTTTATAAGTTTATTTATCTCAGGTATTTGTCATAGCAACACAAAACTGACTAACACACGAAAGTCCCAGCACCTGGCCAGACACTTGGTTTGATGAGCAGATGAACCAGTAAGAGGGGTTCATAGGTGTGAAGCCAGGGCAGGCTTCATGGTCTTCCAAGGTTCCAGTTAGAAACGAGGTCAGGAGCCTGTACCCCAATTCCCTCTGAGAGATTATCAGGCAGCTTTTAGGACTCATCAGAAGGCGGGTAGCCGTTCTTTTGAATCAGTAATGTTCTGACCTCTCCTACAAAATGTAAGTGGCCCCTGGACACAGGGCAGGTCTCCATTGGAGAGCTGTACCGGCCTGCCTTGTGCTCTACTGACTCTTCCAGGCCCACCTCCCAGAGCCCAACCTGCAGGAGCAGCCACTGCCCCAGGAAGGCCCTTTGCAGCAGGAAGGAGTAGTTCTCTTACTGCTTATCAGTTTATCCTTCACCAGGGCAGCCCACACCCAGCTGCTGGCCAGGCCTGCTGTGCCTCTTCCCATTTCTGGCTGCCCCTGGTTGCCCAGAATGTGACTGGTTTGCTCTAATTCTGAGATGCCCTAAGTCCAGCCAACCCACTTCCTCCCCTTACCCGTGCTCCTGGAGGACCCGTTCTGGGCAGCCTGTCTGACTCAGACACTGGCTCTGCAGTTACTCAGGCTCAGGTACTTGCATCTTCTCTGGCCTGGTGACATGATTAGTCACTGGCCCTGTCCCTGGCATTGTGTGTGTATCAGGTCTTGGATTTTCACAGGATCCCAAACTCAGGTTGTTGACTTGGATCATTCTAGATTATTCTAGATCGTTCTAGGTTCCTTGAACCCTGGGGTTTTCTGTCTGCCTCCGCTTCCCTCCCCTAGGACAGCTTGCCTTTGGCACTGGCAATTCCACCGATGAATGGTTTCATTGGGTGTGGGACCCAGTGAGGAGTATGGAGTCAGGGTGGAGTAGGGTAGGGCAAAGTGCCAGAGGAGATGGGGTCCTAATTATTGAGGAGCTACAGCTTCATGAGAATTTGGACAGTGGCAAAGGGAGAAGTGTGCAGCTGCTCAAGGCAAGTGATGTCTGATTTAGGTTTTGCTTGGTTATTTTAAAAATAGTATTCAAGTCGTCTTTGGTAAATTTGTAACTTTATACCCTTTGGCAAAAACGGTTTTGTGTCTGAATCATGTTTGCATCAGATTGGTGAAGGTCAGCCCCATCCAAATGAGACTAGAAAAGCTTTCCCATCAATGAACAAAGAGCTCAGTTTAACCCAAGAAGGAATCACAGAGCCTTAGCTGTAAGAAACACAGTGTAGGGTTTCCTGTGGGCAAGTGGCCTTGTCCTTCTTTCTGGAAACTGTAGGATGGAGTCAGTGAAGGGGCTGAGCTCACTCAGGCCACTTCCAGGGCCACACAGACTTGAGTGTGGGTTTTTTTCTTGATAAATGCCTGTAGGATGCCTACCAGGCATCCACAAGGTACCAAGCAACATTCAGGTCTCTGCTATCTGAGAGGAGACTCTGCCTACTCAGTTCCCTACAGGTGTCCTGGCCAGGTGTGGTGGGGAATGCACCCTGTGCCAAGTGGCCATGGGCAGTCGTGAGGAGGACAGGGGTGAGCCCTGCAGAGCACCTGTCCTTAGGAGGTGAGCAGGACTGTGATCAGCCGAGAAGGCCTCCCAAGTCCCTCCTGTCCCTGAGCCGCTCCTTCGGCCCTCACATCCCTCCAGGCTCCAGACCCACAAGAAGGCATGGCACTAGCAGCTACTCACTGGCGAGGATGACCATGTCCATGCCCCAGAAGATGCTCATGATCCAGCCCACCATGACGATGGCTGTGAGGATCTGGATGAGGGCCGCTGCGATGTTCAGCCAGAAGACGCAGCACACGTGCCTGTCTGGGAGGTCAGTGCGGGCCCCACACAGCACAGTGAAGGCTGAGACGAAGGTCCCTGTGAGAGGCCAGAGGGGACAGCCTTCAGAAGGTGCTGGGAGATAAAGGGGCACACATGCTCCTCCCAGGCTGGGGCCCAGCAGCAGCCCACCCTCTGAGAGCTCAGGCAGAAGCAGCTGATGCCTGGCTCAGACCCCGGGCCACATCTTGTTATCTCCAAACTAGAAAGGATAGTGGACTCCTTGGGGAAGGTGTGGCATGGGGCTGCCAAGGGCCCAGCACAGTCGTGAAGCCTTTAGGGAAACAAAGAAGTCACATGACAAGCAGTCGGTGTCATGAAGAAGCAACCGAGCAGCCATCTGCAAGGACAAGAGAGAGCAATTGGAAAAGCACCAACTTCATGCAGGCAAGATTCCAAGGGCTTTAAAGTCAGATGTAAGAGTAGGTACCATTGGGGAGACAGAAACCAACAACAGCGGCAAATTCAGGGGAGTTGGAGGGCCCGGGAATGACCCCCCAGCACACACACTGATTATCAAAGGACAGAAGCTCAGACCCAGAGACTTGCAGGGTGGGGAGGGCACAAGCCAGTGCAGGTCTCCTACACTTCTCCTTGGTGGGGTTCCCCCAGCCACCCAGACCTTCAGGGGAAGGATAGGGACCTACCGGGCATCCACAAGGTACCAAGAAACAGGGGGTGTACTCACATCCTTTGCCTTGTCTAAGACTTACCTAATGTGGGTAATATTGCTACCTTTACTGAGTTGTACTTGAACCAAGCTCTTTCTGCACTTGGGCTCTGAGTTTGGCACCAATGCTGCATTCTTTGCATCTCTATTCTAATCTCCTGTGGGTGCTATAACAAGTTGCCACAAACTTAGTGGCTTAATGCGACATGATTTATTCTTATACAGTTCTGGTGGTCAGAAGAGTCTGAAGTGGGACTTCAAGGTTGGTTGCCCCAAGGAAAAGTCCATTGCCTGGCCCTCTCCAGCTTCTTGAGGTCCCTTCATTTCTTTGGCTTGTGACCCCATCATCATCACAGAGAAGTGATATTCTTTCTACCTACCCTCATCTTCCTGCCTGTCTCTTATGAGGGCGCACTGGGATAATCCCAGATCAGAGTCCCTTAATCACTTGTGCAAAGTCCCTTGGGGATTGAGAAGTGGATATTTTGGAGGCCATTACTTTGCAGAAAGAGAGAGACAGACAGACTCAGGAATTAAGCATCTTGTTCAAGGTCATCATCGCAGGTGGGCACTGAGCACACTGCTGTGTCATGTCAATGGTGTGTTCCTCTGTTGTCCACGCTGCTGCCTCCAGGTGTAGACGACCTGTTAAAAGCAGGGCTGGACCAGGGAGCAGGAAATATGGGGAATCCGCCAGTTCTTGGTTGTCATTCTCACGTTCCTCGTTCCTGTTCCTGGAAGAAGCTGCCTGGTGGTCAGTTTTCTCTGAACTCTGGTTTCTGGTCCTTCCCTGACCAATTTGCTGGCTCCTAGTGGCTTCCAGAGGTGGCCTTTGCTCCCACCCACACCCTTACACCTGAGACCCAAGACTGAATGAAGCCTGGGTCCATGGTATAATTTTATTTCTTTTCTTTTGATTAGAGTATTATCCTTATACATAGTAGTTGGGTTCTTCCTGACAAAATCACACATGCATGGAATTCAATTTCAGTTCATGTCCCCCAACAAAAATACTTTCCCCCTCTCCTCTTCCCTCCCCCCATTCTCCTTCCTCTCCTGATCTTCCTTTCATTCATCTTTTTTTTATTATTATTGGTTCTTTCTACTTATACATAAAGGTGAAATTCCCTGTGGTATATTTATATATGCACATAGTATGGTTTTTAAAAAATCATTCCACATTTCCTCCCCATTCCCATCCCTCCTCTCTCCTTCTCAATCTCCTTCTTCTCCTCCACTCATCTTCCTTATATCTTTGTGAAAGCTGATCCTCCCCTCCTGACTGTTGCTCTGCTTTAGCTTCCACATAGGAGACAAAATATTCGACCTTTGATTTTCTGAGACTGGCTTATTTCACTGGGCATGATGTTCTCCATTTCCATTCATTTTCCAGCAAATGCTATAGGCTGATTTCTGATACTGGCCACACCCATCCTTCCCCTCCCCTTAACAACCGCCATCAACTCTGACCTGAGGTCCAGCCTGAACCTTCATGCCTCCAACATGGCACAGTGCCTTGAAAACAGCAGGTGGCTGGTGGACATCTGAAAGACTAACCAACATCAAGTGCGTCCTCAGACTCAGACCACCCATATCACCACCTGTGGTATTTGCTACAAATGCTGGTGCCCGGGGCCCCACCTGAATGTCTAAGAGGTAGAGCTCAGGAGCGCTCTACCGCTGAGCCACAACACCAGCCCTGGACCCTCTTTTTGTGGTGTGGAGGCTGGGTTGTCACTCCAAAGCCTCTGTGGAGGCTCACTCAGGACTAAACTCAGGACCCAGCACTAGGGAGCTCAGTCCCTGTCCTTAGGAGCTCACAGTACGGGGCAAATTCATCATCCCCACTTGGCAGAGGAGAAGGGGGCTGAGGGCTTGTATGGGTTTGCAGAGGTGAAGGTTATGGAGCTGGGACATCAGCCCCAGCCTCTTCCCATTTGGATGAGGATGGTGGAGATGCTGCAGGGGACAGGAGTGAGGACTTGGGGAAGTAATGGGGATGCAGAGTTAGGATTGACTGGGACTATCTGTGGAAGGCTCCGGATGCCTGAATAAGTGTTTGTTCCTAACCTGCAGGAATTGGGGGTCTCACAGACTTCTGAGTCAGAGAGGGATGCAAGAGAAGTGACTTAAGAAAATCTGTCAGCATGGTGCTGATGGATTTAAATTGTCTGAGAAGGGCAAGACAGACTGGGAGGCGAAGGCAGCAGCTGAGAAATGGCATGGATATGGACTCAGGATTTACTAGTGAACACGGGAGGGCACAGTGGACTTAGGGACCATCAGGAAGTATGTGCTACTGTCCTTTGCTCTGGTGGACTAACATGCCTGTGTCAGAGGAGGTGAGCACGAGTTGACACTGTTACAAAAGAGACCTCTGCAGATGCAAGAAGATGAAACCATTAGGTAGAAATAACAAGGATGCCAATTACTGCACACCTATGGGGTGCTAAGCACAAGCTCCCCTCTCTCTACCTACATTACTCTTAATTCTTAAAACCACCAGAGGTAGTTGTTATTATCCCCATTTTACAGACGGGGAAATTGAGGCTCAGAGAAACAAAATGACTTGTCTACATGGCAGAACCCACTTTGAACCCCAATCTAGTTCAGAAGTCTAAGTTCTTTTCAGTCTGGGATGTTGCATTCTTACATTGAAAAAAAATAAGAAAAAAAACCCTTCATCCTCAATGATTTTCAAATATTTCTAAAATATGCTACTCTATCCCACCCTACCCCAGCCAGTGTCACTCACAGGAGGCCCTAAAGTAGATGCTGCCCTCATCTCTGGCCTGCAGTATCCTGACTCTGCAGGATCTGGCTGAGATCCTGTGATCCTCTGTCTCTTTGTAGCTGTAGCCTTGCCTCAATCCTCCTGCCAAGGAAATGGGAACCGTGGTCAATGCTCTTTCATGTTTTTATCAGGCTGAATGATATCCAGTCAGTGCTTTTATAGGTCAAGAGCAGCTGCATATAGCAATTTCACCTGGTTCAGCTTCATTTGTTTGTGAAAGTTTTCAGCATGAAGAAACTGTCCCTGAACTCAGAGATTCTTCATGTTAGATGCTCACCCTTCAATCCTCTGTCAGAAGATCGAATCTCATCAGAATTACCAAACCAATTAGGGGCCAACAGGTCTTTTCATGTACCTGCACACTAGCCTCAGAGACAGAAAGGCTTGGTGAGCCCAGTGCTCTGCAGATACACAGGGCCTGAGAAATGAATGACATCAGCAAAGGCTCTGCTGATGTCAGGAAAAAAAATGTGCTGGCTGGACTCTATGTCAAAAAAGAGACCTCGTTAACATGTGTGTGGAGTGGGAGGGGCCTTTGGTAATTTCTCTCCCTTTTACCCATCTTGACATACTCCTGAAAATTCTTACTGTATCAAAAGATAAGCACATTATACATAATCTACTTGTACAACATGTACACCTATTATCTGAAGTGCATTAATTTAAAGGGAATAGTGATAATAGGTTCCTTTTGCCCCAGAAGGTTTAAAAAAAATCCATAAAAGTTAAGGATTAAGTAAGTAAATGAATTGATATTATAAACACATGGTTTTAATCTCTCCAGGAGTAAATTTAAAAAAAATGATTTGGGCACATTTTTACACAAAGAGGTGTTAATTATTTTAAATGAGTCTTACTTGCTAAATAAAGATCTCCACCCAACTACAATGTGTCAGTTCCAATTCATTCCACTGAGCACCAGCCATATGCCAATTCCGAACACAGAGACCCAACAGGTTAGGGGGCTTGGCCCACCCCTTCCTGGGGACGCCATGGTGGTCAGGACATGGGGTCACACAAGGAACAGTGATAATTCTGTTTGTAGCAAGAAAGGCTTCACAGGAATGCAGGCAGGGATCCCAGAAGCTGACACTATAGAGGATACCATATTGAGGAGGTCATTGAAAGAAGGAGGGAGGGAGGGAAGAGTAACCCAAGGCTCAGGTCTGTCTGGAGCCCAGGGGAGCAGGGGACTGAGTGGTGCTGGGGCTGGCCACAGGATGCGTGCAGGGGGTGGTGGGAACGTGGCTGGCTCATACTTCAGTCAAAACTACATAAATTAAGAAAAACAAGAATGGAATGGGCAGGGAGGAGCCCGAGGGGCTTGATCTGGAGTCCTGTGATGGACAGGCCCTGGGAAGGGTTTAAACAGAGAGCTCCAAGATTGGGTGTGAGTTTTAGAACAAACACGGTGACCCCAAGGGGAGGATGGGTCAGACAGGGTGAGATCGAAAGCTAGAAGGGGAGGTGTGCTGAAAACTCCAGGATAGATGACACAGGGAAGTGGCAGAGAGCAGGGACTGAGGGGGGATCAAGGGGACTAGGGCAATGGAGTCCTTGGGTTGGATGTCCTTC